CAGGCATTTGTAGTAAAACATCATGTACCTTCCCTTAACTTTACCCTCTTTTATGTGGGTGTTCTGTCACCTTCGCTTTTTTTTTTCTTCTTCTTTTTGCCAATATTCTTCTCCTCATGCTTTCTGAATTCTTGCTTCTTTAAGCACATCTCTGATTTTATTCCTTTGGATTTTTCCCAAGCTCTCCCTTTGGCATTCGATGTCTGCACCACGTCTGTTTTTCCAAACCCTCATCCACAGAGCAGTGAGGCGGAGGGCTCAGGAGCCTGGGTGCAGGTCCTAGCGTGACCACTCCTTAGTTCTGTGACTTGGGGCTCGTTAGTTCTCCTCTACAGGCTTCACTGTCCTCAACAGTAAAAGGGGATCATCATGGTACCTCTGTCATAGAGCTCTTCTGCGGACTAAATGAGTTAGTACTTTGAGGTGCTTGGAACAGTGCCTGAAACGATTATTTACTTTGGGCTTTTTCCATTTCTAATGTGGGGGTTTACTGGTAAATATTAGCTATTAGCAAAGATAAGACAATGGAGGAAAATGGGCTTGTCAATGTGATGGTGGTAAGTATTTCAAAATATTCTGTTTCTGTAGTACTTCTGCTCCTTGATGATATAAAGGAAAAAAGCCCTAGCTAAAGCCACCTTCTTTTTTTTCTTAACCTCTTTATTGAGATTCAATTCACACACCATATAATTCACCCCTTTAAAATGTGCTGTTCAACGGTTTTGATACACTGCGTTAATAATTTTTTTTCATTTCTGGTAAAATATATATAAAAAACGAAATTTGCCATTTTAACCATTACTAGATGTACAATTCAGTGGCATTAATTACATTCACAGTGTTAGGCAACATCACTGCTGTTCCCAAAACTTTTTCATCACCCCAAAGAGAAGCTCGTACCCATTAAGCAGTAACTTCCCCAATCCCTCCCCCTGCAGCCTCTGGTAAATCTCACCTGCTCTGTGAATTAGCCTCCTCTAGATAGTTCATGTAAATGGAATCATACAACTATTTGTCCTTTAGTGTCTGGCCTATTTCACTTGGCATGTTTTCAAGGTTCGTATTGATGCATGTATCAGAACTTCATTCCTTCTTATGGCTGAATTATATTCCACTGCATGGATAGACCATAATTTGTTTTCCAGTCATCCATCGGTGGACACTTGGGTTGACTCCACCTTTTGGCTATTGTGAAAAATGCTGCAGTGAACATGGACCTACAAGTCTCTTTTCAAGTTCCTACTTTCAGTTCACCTAAAGTGGAATTGCTAGGCCATATAGAAATTCTGTTTTAGCTTTTTGAAGAACTGTTTGCCTGGAAAGCAGTTGCTTTCTGGCCATCCTCTCTTGTGTACTCTCCTTTGGTGTCTGTCTCCCTCAGATTCTATTCCATTTCCTCCTGTCACCAGTGTTTCATTGTCCTTCCTTTTCTACCATCCCAAGCACGTGTCTCCCAGCCGTGTGTCTGAGGGACACCCCTCTGCTGCTCTGTCCGTCACCCACTGCCAGAACATGTATCACCCACTCTGGCCGTACATCCGCTTGATCGCTTTCATCTCATTGTCTGAGGAGGGAGGCGCTTGTAGAAGGTCATCCATAGGCCTCAGACCATGCTGGCTGGAGGTGGTTTCAGCTACATGAAGTTCCTAAATCCTTTTGGGTGCGGGGAGCCAAAAGCCCCGAAGAATTTCAGCCCTCCTCAGACAGGCTCCTTCATCCTCACGTCCCCTTGCTTTCATGGTCTCCATCCACTTTGCTTGTCTTTTTTTTTTGGCCACCCTCTCCAGAGGGAGAGTTGTTCTCCCATCTTTATTTGCTCACAGTTTCTGCACTTTTCTATGAGCAAGTGAATTAATGAATGAATCCCCCAACAGACTGTAAGCCTGCCTCAGACAGACATTCTGGTTGTTGGGCTAATTGTTAGCTGGGGTTTCTGGTATGTCATTCATAGTAAGGCTCCTAGTTAATCTCAGCGCCGTTCTCACCAGAAGAAAGGCTGATACGGAGAAACATCCTCAATTACCATGAGAAAGGAAATGTCAAGAGCCCTGTTGAGTTTTACTGGCATCCACCCCTTGTCTCAGATGAAAACCGTCGTTAACGCGCAGAGGCAGCCTGGAGATCAACCCTGACAACTAGAGGGTTGTGAGAGCCCGTGGAGCCCCGGACCATCTTGTTTGGTGACACCAATTGTGTTTCCCAGGACAGTGGGGAATCCTGGAGCCCTGGGCGGCAGCGCCTCTGCTGTCCCAGAAGCAGGCGGGGCGGTTTTAATTCGGAAAAGCTATAGGTCTCCTCTTTTGTCTGTGTTTTTGTGCCTGCAGGACAAAAGATCCTTCATCACAGAAGTGACGTTTTAGAAACAGTGGTCCTGATCAACCCCTCAGATGAAGCAGTCAGCACTGAGGTAAGTATCTGGCTCCGCGGGGCCTCACACAGTGGACGGAGACCCAGCTGATGAGAGGGGCTGGGCAGGTGGCAAGAGAGGGACAAGGGAGAGACAGGTTCTGGGTCCAGGGATGCTTCTGTACCCCTAGTCAGTGGCTGGTTCTCTGCATCAGTACCAGCCGAGACTGCCCCTTTCAGTAAGGACAGAGTGGAAGATGCTGGCCAGAACTGTAGTATTTTGTAGAGGTGAAGCGGGTGTGGAATGTGGGGGTATACCCGGAGGGTGTGCTGCTGGGATGGAGTCTGGCTGGGAGGTAGCAGGGGAAGTAGACTGCAAGCCTTCAGGCTGAGACCTCCATGACCCAAATTTGGAGAATAATGGCTTCTCAGATGCAAGCCTCCTTCAGAGCATCCTGCCCACCCCCTTGGCACTGTTGAAAGGCAGGGCAGCACAGCTGCCAGGGGCACGGCCTCTGCTGCTGGACTGCCTGGGTTCTGCCGCTTATTAGCTGGTGGTCTTGGGCAAGTCATCGACCATCTCTTTGTCTCATTCCACCTCTATAAAATGGAGATCATAATAGCACTGACATTTAGTTTTGTGTCCAGAAGTGTCAAGTGCTTAGAACAGAGCATGGCATATGACAACCGAAACATATATGTTGGCGTTTCTCAGTCTTAATATTTTTATTACCACCATATGAAATCGTTACCAGAGAGAGTGGGTATTTCAGAGCCTACTGTAAGGTAGGAACTAGGCTGACGCCGAGAATCCCTGCTCACCCGGGGTAGAAGAATTGTTTCACCTCCGTTTCCCACTGTCTTTACTGCAGTTTGGTACCTTTGAGATTGAGCTGCTTCTTGGATGTTAGTTAGAATAGCCACAGGCCCAGGGGCCTGCACCATCCACAGCATCTCTTCTCCCATGCTGAGCATCTCTGTGACTGTAGCTTGTTTTTCAAAATTGAGATAGAATTCACACGCCATAAAATCCATCCTTTTAAAGTATGTAGTTCATGGGGGTTTAGTCTATTCACAGTACCGTGCAGCTGTCATCAGTATCTAATTCCTGAATGTGTCCATCAGCCCCCTAAACCCCAAGCCCATTAGCAGTCACCCCTATTCCCCCAACCACCGGCAACCACTAATCTACTTTTTGCCTCTATGGATTTTCCTGTTCTGAGCACGTTATTTCAGACAGTGGAATCATATGATATGTGGCCTTTTGTGTCTGGCTTATTTCACTTTACGTAGTGTTTTCCAGAGTCATCTACATCGTAGCCCATATCAGTACCTCATTCCTTTGTATGACAGAATAGTATTCCAGTGTATGGGTATACCACTTTTATTTATTCATTCATCAGTTGATGGACATTTGGTTTGCTTCCACTTTGTGGCTCTCATTATATAGCCTGTTTTGATCCCATTTCATCTGCTCCAGATGAGCAGGACCTCTCTGACAATCCCTGAAGGTACAAGGTGAGGCAAGTGATGGGCTAGCAGTCTGTCTTTGGCCATCAGAATCAGGAAGTAGATACAACTTGAAAAAAGCTGGAGGTTGAATATATGTGCAGGCAGATTGCCTGGAACAGCTGTGAGAAATGAAGAAGGAAAAAATGAGGAATTTCTTTAAGGAAGCCAGGCTTGCCTGTGGAGCAGATGGGGCTGGAACAATTACTTCGGTACATGTGCATTTCCCTGGATCCTGGGGTTCGTGGGGACAGTGGGTCACGTCCTGTTTACTTTGCATCCCTCCCTTAGTGCCTAGCATGATGCCTGGCAGTCACTTTGTGCCGAACTGAGTTGGGCTCAGAATGAATAACCTTGGTGCTTGGAGTGGTATTTCTGCTGAAGGACAGGCTGGCTCCCTGCCACTTAAAGAACAGAGAGTTCTTTCGTGCAAACCGTTTACAATTCTATTTAAAAGATTCCCAATCAGGGCAGCCTTTTGTTTATGTTCAAGTTCAACGTTAGGCACCTTGCTGATCCCATTGGAGACTGCTTTGGGAGCTGTGTGTTCGGTGTATGGCTTGGCAGGAAAGGGGTCCTGGGTGGGAGGGGCTGACTTGGGACCCTAGCTGGAAACCTATGTTTCCTGAGGCAGCCGTTGGGAGACCTGGACTGTACTTGGTGAGTCAGCCTGTGAGATACTCATGTCTCACGGACTGCACGCTGCTAGTAGGCACAGCTGTGCAACAAATGATCGCCAGCTGTGGAGACTGCTTTGAAAAAGACAAGGAAACTAAGGGGAGAAAGTTAACTCCTACTACTGTCTTGGTGGTGGCCAGATTTGGAAAATGGCATTCATGGGCAGCTGGTGACCACAGTCATTGGCTCTGTCCAACACCCCAGGGGCAAAGTGAATACCGGGGAACGCGTAATTCTTGTTGGTAAGAAACTTCAAGAGCTCCAAGGGCCAGCCTGATCCTGAAGGTGGGATTCCAGCGCCCCCCATGGCTCATGCTCCCCGTGCTTTGTTTCAGGTGCGCTTAATGATCACGGACGCCGCCCGACACAAGCTGCTCGTGTTGACTGGGCAGTGCTTTGAAAATACCGGAGAGCTCATTCTCCAGTCCGGCTCTTTCTCCTTCCAGAACTTCATAGAGATTTTCACCGATCAAGAGGTAGGATCCTGTCTGGGAGTATCCAAGCTTTACAGTTGCTCGGTTATTGTTGTAGCCTTAGGCTGATCTTTGAAAGGCTGGTGGGAGATAGGAGGCTGCCGGGAGGGGGTGTTGCACTCCTTTGAAATAAGCAAAACCGCGTGGTGCAGTGCCCTGCAGTCCTGTGGCTCATCTCCCGAGGAATTTAGAGCACTCATCTATAATTAATTGGAACCATTCTGAATGTGCCCGAGATACAGATGGAGGGGGGTTGTTACAGTCAGCATTTTACAGATGGCAGAGGTGATGGAGAAACTTGGAATGACAGAGTCCAAAAGAAAACCCAGGTTTCCTGTTTTCTGAAAGAATACTCCAAAGATCTCTTGGATTTTGGGTAGGATTTAACTGCCCTGATCTCTTTCAGTGCATGTACTTACTTATCCTGGTCAAATAATTTCTGATTTCTCTTACTTTTGATGCCTGGCCCCAGTGTTTGAACTTGGGCTGCTTGAATAGCCCAAGAAAGGGAGGCATGTAGGAAAACGGGGTGTATCTATGGGACATGTCCATGCCCCAGGAGAAGGATGGTTAAAATAGCTGGACTGAAGCGTGATCATTAATATTTCTAACGAATATATCTTATTCAAGAATGATACATGTGAAGTTTTGAAAATTATAGGATACTAGTGGTATTTGGTAAAATCAGATCGAACATTTGAATTTGGTTATTTCTGCTTGCGAATTTATCTGGTTGGGAAACTTCTCTTTGCAAAATAACGCGCCTTTGGTCTCCTAGTTAGAGCGACAATTCAGGGCTGTCACCATAGCAGCTTGGGGCTGCCCGTAGCTGATAGCAGGTCTCTACATGGAGAGGTTGAGGGACGTGCTGACAGGAGGAGTTGCCACATCTATTTAAAACCATCTTCCTGAGAACTTCCTGAGATGGCGGCGTCTTAGTCTCGTGGATGTTGGGAAGGGCCATCTGTCTTTCTGCATTTAATCTTCCTTGGCCCCGAGAGTCACAGAGAGGCCTCTGTGTACTTTCCATCATTGGCAAGAGCTGTAAATAAACTGCCCAGCTTCATTAGGTTCACCTGGAGGCTTTGTGTAGAAAGACGGGTCGGATGACATCACTGTTTCTCCACTCACTGGGGAGGAATAAAAAGGAACATTTTTCTCCAGCTTTCAGAAGTTATGATGTCACCTGGGTCCCGAGGCAGATAGCCCAGGCTCCCCGCACAGTGAGAAAGGGTCCAGGGCTCCCTCACAGCCTTGTTTGATTGCATGGAGATCCCAAGCCAGAGCTCTAATTCTCACTCTCCCCGCTGCCCTGAGATGGGTGTGTGACCACTGTATTGTCGGAGTCTTACACGAGATTGTGTCCCCAGGTTCGTGTTCTGCCCGGGGCCAGCTGGGCATCTGTCTGGTAGCTCAGAGGTCACACCCACTATCAGCACCTTGGCCTGGGCAAGGGAGAGGGCTGCAGAGGCCTGGAAACAGCCCCGTGGCCCAGTACCGGGTGGGCGGTTAACTGGCTTGCTCTAGGTTCAGTTCAGCCCTGAACCCTCAGCTCATTTACGTGAACACAGGTGCCTCTCCTACATTCCTGTGCAGTTCCACAGTTAGTTTCTAGTGGTTGGTTTCTACCCCCATGTCATTGGTTTGTCTTTTTTTTTTCTTTTTTTTTTTTACAGTAAAATAGAACAGAGGACATATGTAAACAAAAGGGTTTGTCATTGCCAGAATTTTAAATCTGGAGGTATCACAATCCACCCATCTGGACCCCAAATAATACCTCTCTCTCTGTCTTTAAATAAGGCAGTGTCAATAAGGTAGTGTTGTGAATATTGCTGCTTAAATCATTTTTACTAGCCCACAGAAGTAGAATTTTAGCACAAGGGACTGTGCATATATCAGAATTTACCACTAATTACAGAAGAAAAAGAAGAAAAAGAAACAGCTTTAACTGGAGAATGGGAGTTCCGTGCAAGGGCTGAATTCTAGTCACTGAGGCATGTTCGGAAGGGCACACATTTTCATTATACCAGGCAGGCGTTTTAAAGGCCAGAGGCTCTGTCATAGTCTCCTCTGCCGGCCCCGTAACCCCCACCCCGATACTTTGGGGAAGTAATGCTCAACACACGTTAAAAGATCTCTAGAACTTTCCCTTACAGACTAGATCAGTGGTGTCAGGGGTGCTGGGGGAAGACAAGAAAAGGGGGAGACACAGGGTAGAATTCACTCACTTCTCCTTGTCCCAACCAGAGTACCTGGGCCTTTACCTTTTTTACATTCTGGACTTTGGAGAAAAGATGCCATAGCCAAAGTGGATTGGAAACCACTGGAGCAGGCCAATGGTTAGCAGGCTTTTAGAGCTGTGATTGCCTATTGTTGCCTTGGGAAGAGGTTTTGAGTACAGAATGACTCAGTAACTAAGGGATCTTAAAGGCCGTTTGATGTCTACTCTTGCTCCTATTATTTAGTCCTTGAAACATACTAGTCCAGAGAAACCAGAAACACAATTTGGCAAAACCAAAAATGACACTTTTTTTAACAAGAATAGCTAAAAATAAATGGACTGAAAAATAGAATTATCAGTGCATTTTGAGCTTCAGCTTTTGTGAGTCATTGGAGGTCAACGACAAAACCAGAGCCTACAGATAGAACAGTCATCTGGCTAACCCATCCCTCCCTGAAATCTGAGGATGGTGAAATCACCATCTCCTGGGGACATTTTTCATTCTCTCTGTTAGAAAGTTTTTCCTCATTTGTCTCATCGTATCTTCATGGAAGGAATGTGATCCCTTTTCCACCTGACAGTGTCTTAACACCCTTCACCAGTGCTGCCAATTTTTTTCCCCTCCAGATTAATCATTTTCATCTACTCAGTGTTCTCCATGAAACAAGATATTAAAAGTTCCTTACATTCTCTGGTCACTGTCCATTGGCAGGAAACGGGGGTAGGGTGGGGATGGGGGAAACTCAGGAGCTCATTCTTGGCCATGTTTCAGTGCCTTGGCGTTATCGGACAATTAGATATAGGAGTCCAGAGCTCGGGGAACTAAGAGTGGGCTAGAGACATTAATGTGGAAGCCATCAGCACATTAGAAAATAGATGAAGTAGTCTAGAGGGAGGAATGTGTTAGAAGAGAAGGGGGCCCAGGTCTAGCGTTTAGAGGTTAAGGCCAAGGAGGAGGAGCGAGCAATTTCAGTTTGTTTGTTTTTGGTCCAGTTTCTCTAAAATGCTATGACTCACACTGGACACCATACTCCAGGGGTCACTGACCAGGTTAGGAGTGTGAGGGTCAGTGACTTCTACAGTTTTCAATACAATTTTCTATTCAATAAGTCTAAAACTAACTTTTGACCATCACCATCCACAATTAAACGTCAGTGAAGAAGGGATGCAGGCTCTGAGGAGCTCTGTAATTAACAGTTTGGGGGGGGGTTCCCTTTAAGAAAAAGAAAACAAAATTATTAATACACAATTAAGTACAGGACTTTGGGAGGGGACCAGGCCACTGAGGAGCCTTGAAATTTAAACTTCTTTAGCTTTATGATAAATGCACTTGACTGTCAACTAAAATCCCTGAGTCTTTTCCATGGATATTGTTGATAAGCCCCATCTCCCAATCCTGCTTTCCCAGCTGGTTTATTGGACTTTACATTTATCCCTTTAGAATACCTCTGTTAGAGTTGACTTATTCATCATCATCCCAATGTCAATGGCTTTCCTAAATGTCTTAATTCTGCCACCCCACAATGCCTAGGCCTCCTATTTTTATGCTGTCCACAGATTTGATAAGCATGCCTTCACCACTTTCATTCACGTCAATACCAACAGGACATAAATGAGCCCATCGCAGACCTCCCTCCAGGTTGACATGGAGCAGCAGAATTTATATGGCTGGCTAGGACCACCCAGTTCTACTGTCACACCGTGCAGAGATCCTGTTAAACATCTTGCTAAAAGCCACAGATGCGCTGTCTGCTGTATTTCCTCATTAGCCAAGCAAGTAATCTAACCACAAAAGGAAATGTAGTTAGTTAGTAGGCTATGGTTTAGAAATTGCAATCTTATTTCATTAATATTATCTGCTGTAAAGTCATTTATTTCCTATATGTTCCTTCCTCTTCCAGTATGCCTGCATTTAATTAGAAAAGGCAATTAATGAAAAGGACTGTCTTTGCCCCAAACAATATTCCTTCTGGTCATGTCACCCACCCGTCTTTGTAAGAACAAGGGGAGGGTAGCAGAGTCAGTGTGCTTGAGAAGTATTAGTGGGCTCTGGTCACTTCCCAAGTGTCCACTTCAGGAGGACAGCACGTATTTAACTGGCCAAGTTCAGTGAGGTTCAACAAACATCGACTGAGCCTGATGATGTGCTGGGGAAACAAAGGTAACAGAGATAGAGAAGACGTGTTTCCGCCTATTCAGGAGCTTTTAGTATAATGGGCTCTACTAGCTAGCATTTATCATGGTGATGATTTGCAAACCCTTTTAGAGGAAGCCTCAGGTCCCGAGTCTAGGACCTACTCACAGGTACCCTCGTCCCTGCTCACATTGTTGGCTCCTCCTCGTTGCTCTCGCCTGTCCCTTGGTTGAGCGGGCACTTGTGAGACCCGGTCTTTGCCCTTGAGGCCCTGTCTCTCCAGTGTACGTGCTGGCACAGGTCTGGAAGCCGGTTCTGGGGGGACATCGGGGCTTTGTTTCTGCTGTGCTGCTCCAAGGCCGTAGCGCTTGTTCTTCCTCCTCCTCCCGGACCCTTTCCATCTGTCTCTTTCATGACGGGTTCTCTCCAGCCTGAGACTGTGTTCTTGTCTCATGCACAGTGCGTTGTTGCTTCTCCAAAGGAACCGGATTTTCCCTCTGTGAAAAAAAAACCTGTCTGGCAGTGCTGACTTTCGTTTTCTGCTTTCTCTTGTACGTCATAGCTTTCCATTCACCAGCCTCTTTCTTTGCTGTTTTTCAAGGCCCTTGACTTCCTCAGAATTCTGCACAGCTTTGTTTCCTTTGGGGGGGTCATTTCCTTCGTTTCATAGAAACTCTCTGGGTAGAGGTGAAAAGATGGAAAGTAAGGAGGTATTCCACAAGTCCTTTTACCTTCTCCTTGATGTTGATGATTTCCTACGTCACATAAAAAGAGCTAATGACTGAATACCCCCTGCACACAGCTGGATCATACCTTTACCTGCCACACCCCTCAGGGTAGAATTTCAAAAATTAAAATGAACTAAACTTAATTTTTGCATTTCACTATTAAAGACTCAGCAGTTTGAGTTATCCTGGATTTCTCCTCAAAAATGTGTTATAAAACATGAATAGTTTGCATGCGCTCTGTGTGAAAATTAGGACTGAGACAATTGTAACTGTCCTATAGTGATGGTGATGTGGGTCTATGCTAGTTATTGGGCAGGAAACCATACTTGGTGCTGATGTTTGCTTTGGTCAGCAAATAATTTGAGCAAAGACTCCCCCATGGATGGCTACCATTTGCTGTTTATCAGTTTTCTGAGCTTCCAAAATAGTTGATTCTTATCCCTTTTATAGAAGATCATCAAGTCAGAGGAGAACAACAAAGTCAAAGAAAGACTTGTTGTTTTGTGACCCTTCACATAAAATGTAGGACAAACAGGCTAACAGAACAAAAATGGCTATTCTACTGCAATCTAACGTTGGAAAATTCAGATTTTATAACCCTTCTAAACATTCATACTAGTAGCCTCAGAACGCTGGTATCCCGGAGGTTGTATGAGACAGAGAAAACCACTCCAATACTAGAAGGGAAGAGTTTAGACCCACTGGCTCAGGGATGCCTGGACCAAATGAAATCTTTGCTTTGCCCTCATCATTTACCATTAAGGACACAGAGCTCTTTTCACTGGAAACGCTGAGCCGATTTATGAGCTTTGCTGTTAACTGAAGGAAGAAGACTGGAGTTTATGGCATGATTCTCCCTCACTACCTACTAGGCATAGGGCCATAATATGGAGTGAGAAAGAAAACAGCATTTTCATTAAGTCACAGTCTCTGTTTTAGTCCCAATTAACTCTTATGCATTTCGCATCCTGCAGTACTAAACAATGTGTTGAAAACTTTTCAGCCAGATTTGATTTTAGCCACTCATGCCCAGCTTGCCCTGAAAAGAACAGGAGTTGTAACAGAGTAGAATATCTCACTCACCCTGGATTCAAACAAGAGCAAATTCAAACAAGACAAATTTTGGCTCCTTGCTCACATAATTATCCAACTGCTCTGACCATCTTGGTTTCAGAGTGTCTGTATTTGCAGAGAATCTGCTGGATGAACTACTCATGCTTTACATAGTGTGAACTGATGCCAGAACCAGTAATTTTTTGTAGTAATGTGCAGTCTATAACTTTCTGTCTCCAAGATGCAAAAAAAACCCCACCAAACTTTTTTCTTCTCTACCTACCAGATTCTAAAAATTGACACCATGTGCACTATATCAAAATTCATTTAATGTGCCATCAGTCCTTTTTGCCCAGCCCAGTGGGATAAAAGAAAACATTTCATGTCAGTGGTGAAATGACTCACCGAGCCATCCCCTGTGATAGTTTGTTACTTTTTAAAGGGCATTTTTGCATGGCAAGTACCCAGGGGTTGTATCCAGAGTATTTCATAACCACACAGGCACCGATCATCCAGATGGTCACTAGTCTTAGAGGTGGAGCAGAGTTCTGGAGATCCCCTGCTGGGCAAGAACAGATGGTGGTGAGGTCTGAGGGGGAGGTGCTTGGGGCAGGGGGGAGCGGAGTAGGGAGTTGAGGGAGAAGGGAATGGCAGGAGTGGTCAGGACAGAGGCTGTTCACTTACCAGTATGGAAATATTTACCAACCAACATCTCTGACGTTTGCCCTGTGTGCATCCAGTGATCCTGTAATACCTAGTAATAGATGGAGAGGATGGATCAGTGATGACAGTCACTTGAACTTCTTCTTTCTTTGTTTCTTATGATTTTTTAAATCCCAGATTGGGGAGTTACTGAGTACCACCCATCCTGCCAACAAAGCCAGCTTAACCCTTTTCTGTCCCGAAGAAGGGGACTGGAAAAACTCCAATCTTGACAGACATAATCTCCAAGACTTCATCAATATTAAACTCAACTCCGCTTCTATATTGCCAGAAATGGAAGGACTTTCCGAGTTTACCGAGTATCTCTCAGAATCCGTGGAAGTCCCATCTCCCTTTGATATCCTAGAACCTCCCACATCAGGTGGATTTCTGAAGCTATCCAAGCCCTGCTGTTACATTTTTCCAGGAGGGAGGGGCGATTCTGCATTGTTTGCAGTGAATGGATTCAATATGCTCATCAACGGAGGATCAGAAAGAAAATCCTGCTTCTGGAAGCTCATCCGACACTTGGACCGAGTGGACTCCATCCTGCTCACCCACATTGGGGATGACAATTTGCCTGGAATAAACAGCGTGCTCCAGCGGAAAATCGCAGAGCTCGAGGAAGAACAGTCCCAGGGCTCCACCACAAATAGTGACTGGATGAAAAACCTCATCTCCCCCGACTTAGGAGTTGTGTTTCTCAATGTACCTGAAAATCTGAAAAACCCAGAGCCAAACATCAAGATGAAGAGAAGCATAGAAGAAGCTTGCTTCACTCTCCAGTACCTAAACAAATTGTCCATGAAGCCAGAACCTCTGTTCAGAAGTGTAGGCAATACCATTGATCCTGTCATTCTTTTCCAAAAAATGGGAGTTGGTAAACTAGAGATGTATGTGCTTAACCCAGTCAAGAGCAGCAAGGAAATGCAGTACTTTATGCAGCAGTGGACTGGCACCAACAAAGACAAGGCTGAACTAATCCTGCCTAACGGTCAAGAAATAGACATCCCAATTTCCTACTTAACTTCAGTCTCATCTTTGATCGTGTGGCATCCAGCAAACCCTGCAGAGAAAATCATCCGAGTCTTATTTCCTGGCAACAGCACCCAATACAATATCCTGGAAGGACTGGAAAAGCTCAAACATTTGGACTTCCTGAAGCAGCCACTGGCCACTCAGAAGGATCTAACTGGCCAGGTGGCCACCCCTGCTGTGAAACAAGTAAGACTGAAGCAGAGGGCCGACAGCCGGGAGAGCCTGAAGCCTGCTGCAAAGCCACTCCCCAGCAAATCTGGGCGAAAGGAGTCAAAAGAAGAAACCCCTGAAGTCACAAAAGTTAATCACGTGGAAAAGGCACCCAAAGTTGAAAGCAAAGACAAGGTAATGGTGAAAAAAGACAAACCAGTAAAAACAGAAACCAAACCTCCAGTGACAGAAAAGGAGGTGCCCAGCAAAGAAGAGCTGCCTCCGGCCAAAGCCGAGGGGCCTGAAAAGCAAGGCACAGACGTCAAACCCAAAGTCACCAAGGAGAAGACTGTGAAAAAGGAAACAAAGGCAAAACCCGAAGAAAAGAAAGAGGAGAAGGAAAAGGAAAAGCCAAAGAAAGAAGTGGCTAAAAAGGAGGACAAAACACCCGTCAAGAAGGAGGAAAAACCAAAAAAGGAAGAGGTGAAAAAGGAAGTCAAAAAAGAAATCAAGAAAGAAGAGAAAAAAGAAGTCAAAAAAGAGGTTAAGAAAGAAACCCCACTGAAGGAAGCCAAGAAGGAAGTTAAGAAGGAGGAAAAGAAGGAAATTAAAAAGGAGGAAAAGGAACCCAAAAAAGAAATTAAGAAACTTCCTAAAGACACAAAGAAATCACCTACTCCCGTATCTGAAGCAAAAAAACCGGCTGCATTAAAACCAAAAGTACCCAAGAAGGAAGAGACTGTCAAGAAAGATTCTGTTGCTGCTGGGCAGCTGAAGGAGAAGGGGAAAATTAAAGTCGTTAAGAAGGAAGGCAAGGCCGCAGAGGCTGTGGCCGCGGCCGCCGGCACCATGGCCACTGCGGCGGCTGTGGCGGCAGCGGCTGGAATAGTGACCGCGGGCCCCGCCAAAGAACTCGAAGCCGAGAGGTCCCTTATGTCATCCCCCGAGGATCTGACCAAGGACTTTGAAGAGCTGAAGGCTGAAGAGGTCGACGTAGCAAAAGACATCCAGCCTCAGCTGGAGCTGATCGAAGATGAAGAGAAACTGAAGGAAAGCGAGCCCGTCGAAGCCTATGTCATCCAGAAAGAGACAGAAGTTACCAGAGGTCCTGCCGAGTCCCCCGATGAGGGAATCACCACCACTGAAGGGGAGGGTGAGTGCGAGCAAACCCCCGAGGAGCTGGAGCCCGTCGAGAAGCAGGGGGTGGAGGACACTGAAAAGTTTGAAGACGAAGGAGCGGGTTTTGAGGAGTCCTCCGAGACCGGAGACTATGAAGAGAAGGCGGAAACCGAGGAGGCCGAGGAGCCAGAAGAGGACGGAGAGGAGAGCGTGTGTGTGAGCGCCTCCAAGCACAGCCTGGCGGCGGAGGAGGAGAGCGCCAAGGCTGAGGCCGACGGGCACGTCAAGGAGAAGAGGGAGTCGGTGGCCAGTGGTGATGACCGAGCAGAAGAAGACAGGGACGAGGTACTGGAGAAGGGAGAAGCTGAACAATCCGAGGAGGAGGGCGACGAGGAGGACAGAGCCGAGGATGCCAGAGAGGAAGACTACGAGCCTGAAAAGGCTGAAGCTGAAGATTACGTGATGGCCGTGGTTGACAAGGCTGCGGAGGCTGGCGGTGCCGAGGACCAGTATGGATTCCTTACCACGTCCACCAAGCTAGCGGGAGCCCAGGCTCCTGTCCAAGAACCTGCATCTTCAATTCACGATGAGACTTTACCCGGAGGCTCGGAGAGTGAGGCCACTGCCTCCGACGAGGAGAATCGGGAGGACCAGCCTGAAGAATTCACTGCCACCTCCGGCTACACCCAGTCTACCATTGAGATATCCAGCGAGCCCACCCCCATGGACGAGATGTCTACTCCTCGAGATGTGATGAGCGACGAGACCAACAATGAAGAGACCGAGTCCCCATCTCAAGAATTTGTAAACGTCACCAAGTACGAGTCTTCACCGTATCCTCAGGAATACCCCAAACCTGCCGTGACATCACTCAACGGACTGTCTGAAGGGTCGAAAACAGATGCCACTGATGGGAAGGATTACAGTGCTTCAGCCTCCACCATCTCACCACCCTCGTCCATGGAGGAAGACAAATTCAGCAGGTCTGCTCTACGTGATGCCTACTGCTCTGAAGAGAGAGACGTGAGAGCTAGTGCCACGCTGGAGATCAAAGACGTCGTCTCAGCAGTTTCAGATGAAAAACTTAGCCCACCCAAGAGCCCGTCCCTGAGTGCATCTCCACCATCACCCATAGAAAAGACCCCGGTGGGTGAACGTAGCGTGAACTTTTCTCTGACGCCCAGTGAGATTAAAGTCTCAGCAGAGGCAGAAGTAGTCCCAGCATCTCTGGAGGCGACCCAAGAAGTAGTGGAAGAACACTGTGCCAGTCCTGAGGATAAGACCCTGGAAGTGGTGTCTCCATCTCAGTCTGTGACTGGCAGTGCTGGCCACACACCGTACTACCAATCTCCCACTGATGAGAAATCTAGTCACCTTCCCACAGAGGTCACTGAAAAACCAGCGCCAGTCCCAGTGAGCTTTGAATTCGGTGATGCCAAAGATGAGAGCGAACGGGCTTCCATAAGCCCCATGGATGAACCTGTGCCTGACTCGGAGTCTCCTATTGAAAAAGTTTTGTCTCCTTTACGGAGCCCTCCCCTAATTGGTTCTGAGTCTGCATATGAAAGTTTTCCAAGTGCGGATGACAAGGCTCCTGATAGATGTACCGAAAGCCCCTTTGAAGGAAAGAATGGAAAAGAAGGCTTTCCAGACCAAATAAGTCCAGTTTCTGACATGACTTCCACTGGTCTTTCCCCAGACAAACAGGAAGGGAAAAGCACAGACTTTATACCGATAAAGGAAGACTTTGGTCAAGAAAAGAAAACTGATGATGTTGAAGCCATGAGTTCTCAAGCAGGACTGGCTTTAGATGAAAGGAAGTTAGGAGGAGATGTTTCTCCTACACAAATAGATGTCGGTCAGTTTGGATCTTTTAAAGAAGACACTAAGATGTCCATTTCTGAAGGCACTATCTCAGACAAGTCAGCTACCCCTGTTGATGAGGGTGTGGCAGAAGACACATACTCTCACATGGAGGGTGTGGCCTCGGTCTCCACAGCTTCTGTGGCTACAAGCTCATTTCCAGAGCCGACAACAGATGACGTGTCTCCCTCGCTGCATGCTGAGGTTGGTTCCCCACATTCCACTGAAGTAGACGACTCCCTTTCGGTATCTGTCGTGCAAACGCCTACCACTTTCCAGGAAACAGAAATGTCTCCGTCTAAAGAAGAATGCCCAAGACCAATGTCAATTTCTCCACCAGACTTCTCCCCTAAAACAGCCAAGTCTAGGACACCAGTTCAAGATCACAGATCTGAACAATCCTCGATGTCTATTGAATTTGGCCAGGAATCCCCTGAGCATTCCCTTGCTATGGACTTCAGTCGTCAGTCTCCAGATCACCCTACAGTGGGTGCAAGTATGCTTCACATCACTGAAAATGGGCCAACTGAGGTGGACTACAGTCCTTCTGACATGCAGGACTCTAGTTTATCACACAAGATCCCACCAACGGAGGAGCCGTCCTACACCCAAGATAATGATCTTTCTGAGCTCATCTCAGTCTCTCAGGTGGAGGCCTCCCCATCCACCTCCTCCGCACATACCCCTTCTCAGATCGCTTCTCCTCTCCAAGAAGATACTCTATCCGATGTTGTTCCTCCCAGAGATATATCCGTATATGCCTCGCTCACCGCTGAAAAAGTGCAAAGTCTGGAAGGCGAGAAGCTCTCACCAAAATCTGATATCTCTCCACTCACCCCGAGAGAGTCCTCTCCTTTGTATTCCCCTAGTTTTTCAGACTCTACCTCTGCAGTCAAAGAGAGCACGGCAGCTTGCCACACTGCCTCTCCCCCACCAATGGGTGCAGCATCTGCAGAGCCATATGGCTTCCGTGCCTCCATGTTATTTGATACGATGCCACACCATCTAGCCTTGAAGAGAGATTTGACCACATCCAGCCTGGAGAAGGACAGTGGAGGGAGGACACCTGGAGACTTCAGCTATGCCTATCAGAAACCTGAGAAGACAACCAGGTCCCCAGATGAAGAAGGTTACGACTATGAGGCTTATGAGAAAACCACCCGGACCCCAGATGTGAGTGGCTATTACTATGAGAAAACAGAGGGCACCACCAAATCCCCATGTGACAGAGGCTACTCCTATGAGACCATTGAGAAAACCACCAAGACTCCCGAAGATGGTGGCTATGCCTATGAAATTACTGAAAAGCCCACACAGAGCCCCGAAGAGTCTGGGTACGCATACGAGATAAGTGAGAAGACAATAAGGACCCCTGAAGTGAGTGCTTACAGCTATGAAAAGACTGAGCGGTCTCAAAGGCTCCTGGATGACATCAGCAATGGCTATGACGACTCTGAAGAGGGTGGCCACACACTTGGGGATTCCAGCTACTCTTATGAGACCACCGAGAAAACTGCCAGTTTCCCCGGGTCTGAAAGTTACTCCTATGAGACATCGACAACAACTACACGAACCCCTGTTACCTCCGCATACTGTTATGAGACCCCCGATAAAAGCGCTAGAACCCCCCAGACGTCTACATATGCCTTTGAGACTTCAGACCAGCGCTACACTGCTGAAAAGAAGTCCCCCTCCGAGGCTCGCCAGGATGTTGACTTATGCCTTGTGTCCTCCTGTGAATACAAGCATCCCAAGACGGAGCTTTCACCCTCCTTCATTAATCCCAATCCTCTCGAGTGGTTTGCCAGTGAAGAGCCAACGGAAGAATCGGAGAAGCCCCTCACCCAATCAGGGGGAGCCCCACCACCTCCTGGAGGAAAGCCCCAGGGCCGACAATGTGATGAAACCCCTCCCACCTCAGTCAGCGAGTCAGCCCCGTCCCAGACTGACTCTGATGTCCCCCCAGAGACAGAAGAGTGCCCCTCCATCACAGCTGATGCGAATATCGACTCGGAAGATGAATCAGAAACCATCCCCACAGACAAAACCGTCACATACAAACACATGGATCCACCTCCGGCCCCCATGCAGGACCGCAGCCCTTCTCCACGCCACCCTGATGTGTCCATGATGGACCCGGAGGCCTTGGCCATTGAGCAGAACCTGGGCAAAGCTCTGAAGAAGGACCTGAAGGAGAAGACCAAAACCAAAAAGCCAGGTACAAAGACCAAGTCATCCTCACCTGTCAAGAAGGGTGATGGCAAGTCCAAGCCCTCTGCAGCTTCACCCAAGCCAGGGGCCTTGAAGGAATCCTCAGATAAGGTGTCCCGAGTGGCTTCTCCTAAGAAGAAGGAATCTGTGGAAAAAGCAACAAAAACCACCACCACCACTCCTGAGGTCAAAGCCGCACGTGGGGAAGAGAAAGACAAGGAGACCAAGAATGCCGCGAATGCCTCCACATCCAAATCGGTAAAGACGGCGACTGCAGGTAGGTGGAAGGTGCTGGCATCCTGGTACAGGGCACGACAATTCTACTTTTCACTGCAGCCTCTGCATTTCCATTTGACTTTGTACTGGGGAGGTGAGAGAACACAACTTGGTGCTCTCCCTTCCCTTCACTGTTTTCTTCTGCCAAAAGGTATAGATCTCAGCCCAGTGTAGCCTGTAGGCCTGGGGGTAGCTCAGCTTATGGCCCAGGGCAGCTCTGATTTCCCAGATGCGACCCCTGGGTTTGCTCCCTTTTGCAACACAGCAACCGCAGCCTTGTTCTCAATCTTCAGAACCAAGGATGTGTGTTTCAGGCTCCTCGGGAAGATTCTGTTGGCATTGGCTTCGGCCACGCCGGCCCCAGAATCAAGTTGAGGTGACACAGGCCAGGAGCTCTCAAAGGCCTAGGGAGAACCAGAGTTCCAAGCCAAGCCTGGAATAAGCAGCATAGGTCCAAGATTTAGGTCCCATTTTTTAAAAATAAAAACATTTAAAATAAAGTTATAACATTTTAAAAATTAAAAGTTATACAGTTTTTAAATAGAAAAAAATGACCAGGCTGGAGATGCATCCCCATTAAAGGCAATGCTTTGATCAACCAGCGAATTCACTTGACCACTGGGTACCCAGTACAAATAGACAGAAAAGCATCCAAGGCTCTACTTATCCCATTCTGACCACATGGCCTCACTAACAGAGACTCAGCATTCTATTTCAGATTGAAATTCCACTTGGCAAGAGCAGATATCCCTGACTTCAGATTCTTAGATTTATCAAGGTCTCAGCAATGACCTGGGTTTTTGATGGAGCAGGTCTCTGATGGCCCAGCTTCATTTTGTTGCTTCAAACCAATTACAGGGATTTTAATTCATATATTTTATTTGCTTTACACAGTTATTCAGGGATTTTAGATCACAGTTCACAAAGTAACATAAATTGACTAAACGTGTAAAGCAAACAGTAATTTAAGCAACACTTCCTTGATTTATTATGGAAAATCTGAGAGATGAACCTTTGGGACTCTCAAATTCAGTACATTTTAGGAAGTATTAGTTACAGGTACAAATTTTTACTTTTAAGCAACATGGAGCATCAATTTCAAGACTCAGGTCTTAGCAGGTTTCCTCTTTTTACTTGCATGTAGAAAACAAACTGAATTTGTTCATGCTTAGACTTAATGGAAAACCACCAGATAATTAACTCCTTGATCTAAAGGACTTGACAACTTGACCTGCACTTAGGAGAAAACATGAAATCCATCCAAACAGATAAAATCCAACTGAAATCTGCTACCAAACTTGCTGAACATACACTCTAGCCCTCACAAGTGATTTATTTTTTAAACTTTTTTTTTTTTTTTTTTTTGGTCACTTAAAGAGAGAATTTTGAGGCAAAGTGAGTTAATTTGAACTTACTTTGAAGATGCTTCCCCAGTAGTTTTTTAAAAAGATAAAATTGCACTATTAATTAATTTTAAAACAAACCTGGGTCGACGTCTGGCTTGGGCTGCTATGAACAATGTTCAAGGGTGTTGATGGGAGTGATTTAGTGTGCAAGGGGAAACCGCAGACATTTTTAAATATTAGAATGTAACTCACAAACTTCTGTTACAAGTCAGAATTCTCGGGGAGACTTACACATGGATATGTTGAGGGCTTTTAGCTTAGGTTCATTATAAAGGCTGGCTAATCTATTCATAAAATGAGTCGGTTTATCCAAATACCAGTTTGGCTGATTCTCACCACGTCCCTGCCCCCACTGAAAATAAAATTAGACCAATTCACTGCTGGTTTCGACTCTGGGATGACAGCCTCTATACATCCCATGGAGAAAGGCAAGAGGATTAAATATATAGGGTCCAGCTAGTATTTTAAATGGCTTTACAGCAGTGGTCTCAAACCAGATACACATTAGCATCAGCTGGGGTGCTTTTAAAAAATGGTGGTGCCCAGCCCAATTAAGCGAGACTCTGGGGCATGGGGCCTGGTATTAAGCGTGCTAAGTGATTCTAATCATGTGGCCAGGGAAAGAATCACTGCCTTAGAATGCTAGTTGTATTAATGTTTCAAAAAGTTTAAACCTTCTAATTAGAGCAAATCAGAAAGCCAGCTCACCAAACAAGGTGCCCAGAAACTTTGGGGTTAGTCTGAATCTTTACTTTGCCCGGGCTTTCTGATTTAGACTGGGAATTTTGGCTGCTACGTGCCCCTGACCTCAGTCTGGTATGTCCTGATTGGCTAGAGAAAGCCTGGTCTTTCTGACCCTTCCTCTTGCCTCATACCTCTTGGTATCCGATCTTGTCTAAGGAGAGACGTCTCACATTTTAGAGTACTGTCCTACGGAGAGACAGTGTTTCATCAGTTGATGAATGAGGCTGAGGTGCTGAGGGTCTTGGAAATCATATGATGTTAATTAAGATCTGACCATTGGCTAGGTCGAATGTGAGGGTATGATATTCAGCTGTGGGCAAAATTGCTTTCAAATGAGATCTTAACTGGATTACAAAGATTGCTTAACTGTGTTTTACCAAATGCAGATATTTTCTTTTGTCCTTTAGAAATCTGTTTCTTAGACCACTTTTCAAATTAAAATGCACATTAGTAGCTCTTTCAGAAGGAGTGTTACTACCTAGTTCCATCTTTGAGGAAGGCCTGAACTCTTCTTCCTAATGGGTTGTCCACAAAGGGAAACATTCCATTCTTCAGTTCTCCTGTTGAGATGGTAAACAACCAGGTCATATTTTCTCAAACTGCCAGTGTTAAATGCCCTCTATGAGAGAGGGGAATGCCCAGTACCCCCTCCCCATGCCCTAGAGGACCTTCTTGGGAAGGAGTAGGGAAGGTGTACCGGACAGATGGGTCTCTTCGCATTCCTGTGACCCCGGCTTTCTCTTTATTTTTGTTCATTTACCGAAGGGCCAGGAAACACCAAGACATCCAAGCCCTCAGCTGTGCCTCCAGGCCCCCCTGTGTACTTGGACCTGTGCTATATTCCCAACCACAGCAACAGTAAGAACGTCGATGTTGAATTTTTCAAGAGAGTGAGGTCGTCCTACTACGTGGTGAGTGGGAATGACCCCGCTGCTGAGGAGCCCAGCCGGGCTGTCCTGGATGCCTTGTTGGAAGGGAAGGCCCAGTGGGGCAGCAACATGCAGGTAAGAGCTCCAGGACGGTGTCCGCACTGCACAGGGAGCTGTGTCCAGAGGCAGAGGGAAGGGATCATGTTTGATGAGGCACCATTATGACTGTGGATCCACATGAGGTACCCTGGGGGGTCTGCCACACGTAAACTGTCCTGAGGACAAAGTAGACTTAACACACAGAAGGTGGTCTAAAAGTATTCTTGTTACCACCAGCCACCAGGGACTTGGAGGAAAGCCACTTTACCACCCTAAAGCATAATACATTTATCTGCAAAATGGGACCAAGATTACTTGCCCTTCACCCTAATATACCAAGAATATTAACCAATGTAACCAAGTGGTCATATTTCCATGTGATGCGGATGAGGACTTGTCTTTACTCCTTTGTGCTTCACAAGTAGACCAAAGCTTGGAATATGGCCGTTTAGAAAATCGGCTGTCCAGTGAGATGCTGCAGGAGGGGCACTGCTGAAAATGGTCCCCAGCAGGATACTCCCGGCTCCCAAGCATCATAACTAGGCACGAACCACTCTTAATACTATGTCAGCTATGGTTTTTGCTTATCTAAGTTTTCCTTATGGTTTTTGTACAGTCATTCAGTAAACTGTGCTTGCATAACATTGAATAGAAATGCTGGTTATTTCATCATATGAAATCTATGAGAAACACCCAGTGGCCTCTTACTGAATACGAGGTGGAATTTTTACTGTTCAAGTCAGTGCCTGCCTACCCACCCAACTCCTCTGCCCCTAAGCACACACACAAATTAAAGATACAAACGTTTGTTCTTAGGATCAGTTATGTTAAAGGAAATACAAGAAATTCCACCTTAACCGAAGCACTTCTCTTAACACTAAAGAACTGAAAAACCTACGACTCATTGATAAACTAATTAGCTAGTCATGACGTGCTTTTGGTTCCAGTGTTCAGCTCCCCCAGAAAAACTGATTTTTTGGCAGCTTTATTCTGGTTCCTAGAAAACGTTAAGTTGAAAAATTCTTCGAATTTCCTAAGGACAATAGAAGATTTTTCTCTTTGCCCTTCTTTTTCTAATGGTCTAATACCTCACTGTTCTGTTTGTTTTTCATCCGATTTCCGGTTCTGCTCTTCAGCAGCTGTTTTCTCTCTCCCTGCAGGTAACCCTGATCCCAACGCATGACTCGGAAGTGATGAGGGAATGGTACCAGGAGACCCATGAGAAACAGCAGGAGCTCAACATCATGGTTTTAGCAAGCAGCAGTACCGTGGTTATGCAAGACGAGTCCTTCCCTGCATGTAAGATTGAACTGTAACAACCAGACCAGCCGCACCACAGGGTTTGAACTTTGTTTCCAGAAATTCTTCAGTTTGAAACCACCTTTTCTAACAAAAGTCAATTCACCTAAATAAGTCGCTGAACTGTTACCTGCCAAACGCTATACTGTGTCATGGTGATACAAGTCACTAATATTTCTCAGTTTTTGCTGATTGCTAAGGGAAGTAGCAGTCTTCCCACACTAGGGTTCAAGTTACTGCAAAATTACCTACCCCAGTTCATCTCTGCTGAACATTTGGAAACCATGCACTAGCAAACCCAACTGATTTCTGCTAGGTAGAGGCATCTGTCTTAGAGAGAGAAAGAGAGAGAGAGCGCGCACGCACAAAAGAGAGGGAATGCAGAACAGAGAGAGAGAGAGAGAAAATGAGAAAGAAAAAAAGAATGCAAGAGGAGGAGATGTAATGGTAGAGAATGCTGGTGAGAT